ACTAGATATGTAGAAGCAGTAACACAAGATTATGTGGTTGATTCTGCCACTAGATATGTAGAAGCAGTAACACTAGATTCTTGTTGATTCTGCCACTAGATATGTAGAAGCAGTAACACTAGATTATGTGGTTGATTCTGCCACTAGATATGTAGAATCAATAACACTAGATTATGTGGTTGATTCTGCCACTAGATATCGAGAAGTCCTCCATGCTACAACAGGATTTTCACACTAGATTTATTGGTTGTTTTTGCCACTAGATATGTAGAAGTCATCAGGAAATTATTAGAGAAAGCGGCCGCCTTTCTTCTTCAGCAGTATGGAGACAATATGATCCCTCCTCTATGATGATGAAACGTTATAATCCGATATAAGGGAAACAGTTGTGTTCGGAGTGGCTTTTAAGAGAGAAATATAATAGATAGAAGTTCAACAGAAGAAAGAAAAAGGCCAATAGATGTAAGAGAAAACGAATGAATACAGAGAAAAAGGGGTGAAAGAAGAAGTAAGAAGCTGCCAGTAAAAAAACCAAAACCTAATTCTAAATCAATGTGTTTTGATTGTAGTAATAAACAGCGATTTGCTATTTATACTGGTATGTGTACGCTAAAGTGAACACAATAGTAATTAGGAAAATCTATTCTACTAAACAAGTTTGTTAATTTCAAGCATTACTGAAATGATCAAATTGTGTAACTTTTGTACTGTACCAAACACAAATAATGATTATTCTGTGACAAGAAAGATTAATAACTTTAATTAACTTCAAGAATTTTTATCTTTAAAATCATAATAATGATGAACATTTTTTAAGTAACATTAGAGAGATATTTTTCAATAGGGTTATGTCTTTATTCCAAATACATTGCTGAAGTCGACGGATTTTTAGTGCAGATGAATCTCAAACAAATACATTTTCCATCTAAATTTTTTGGGATTAGAAATGAAAAGCAAGGTATTTTATGATGCTGAACGATTCATGTGACAACCTCGAAAATGCTCTTCACAACAAGGCTCAAATGATTACGCCCAAACTCTTAAGACTCCAGCTCTGTGTATAATATCTGAATTAAAGGACAAGGCGTGGCCTAGTGGTTACTGTACGTACGTTAAAAGAGTAACATCTGATTCTACTAATCTATTAGAGTAGCTCAAAAGTTGGCGGTGGGTGCTACTGTCTAGCTGCCTTCCGTATATCAGCTACAAATTAGTGTAGGCTTGTGCAGATCGCCTTCTTGTAGCTTTGCGTAAATATCCAAAACAAACAAACATGACTAACGTTTCCAAACGATTATCAGTTCTATTATTTCTTTATCGTTAAATAATTTACGTATCATGTATTTGGCTTAAGCCACAAATTACAGAACTGTCAAATACGGTAACGTATAAGAATATCATTAACAAATTATCACTCACTGTGTGGCCATATTAACTCCATCTGATTTTCCTTTTCCCACCTGTTGTTAATACATTCTCCGTCCAAAAAGATTTAACGCATGCGGCAGATGGCGGAACTATCAACTTTCCGGGAGGTCCATGTGCTTTTACATTAATCAGCACACCACCACCACCAACAACAAACACGGGAAGTGAGGTGTTGACTACTTCATCGAAGGACAGGTGAACGACGTATGCATGGTAGGACGTGGGGCAAAGTCACATGTATATATCATTGACAATTTTTTAATTTTAAAATCCTAATTTTTGTATCAATCTGCGAACGGACATTGGTTTTCTAGAATTTTGACTGTACAGTATTACGAGGTTCTAGAGAAATCTTATCAAGGTACAACTTACGGTAACTGTTAAAAGTGTGAACAAACCCTAATTTAATACTTCTGAAAAAAAGCCATTTAAGCAATCCAAAAAGGAAAAAAAAAGCCTTATATAACATTTCAAGAAAAAATACAACAACCCCCACCACCCTAATTGGGTCGTCATGCTAAGCAAACAGTAAACAAAGAAATATTATTAGATTTGTATCACGTGCTATATTTAACACAGTCATGGTATATTATTTGTGTAGAAAATGTCTAAACAAGTATAAAAAATGAGCAGATGTAATAGATTTGCAGAATAAAAATATGAAGTTCAAACTTTTAACGCTGTTCATTTGAAAAACTGTAAAGGTCATGTTGGCATATTATGACCACCTGTCATATATATTAAATACGCATGTCGATTTACCATTAATTTGATTCTATCAATGCGATCCACTACCTTTGATTACGTGGCAGGTTCGTGACGCGTGAAGGAGAGAATCCCGTTTCCGGACACAACAAAAGCCATAATTCTCCTCGTGGCTGTTGCATCCACAGTGATACAGTTATTGCCCTTTTTGCGGGACAAGAGATTTCCGCTGACCAACGAGTGCGAATGGCCGGATATGACCATTCCTGCCCTAAGGCAATATCAGCATTTGTAGGTGTAATATAAAGTTTAAAACTGGTATAAATTAAAATGTTCATAAGCACATAAACTGATTCTATGGCTATAAGTCACTTTACTGTACGTTTTTTACATAAACTGATTCTATGACTATAAGTCACTTTACTGTACGTTTGTTACATAAACTGATTCTATGATCATAAGTCACTTTACTGTACGTTTGTTACATAAACTGATTCTATGACTATAAGTCACTTTACTGTACGTTTGTTACATAAGTTGATTCTATGGCTATAAGTCACTTTACTGTACGTTTTTTACATAAACTGATTCTATGGCTATAAGTCACTTTACTGTACGTTTGTTACATAAGTTGATTCTATGGCTATAAGTCACTTTACTGTACGTTTGTTACATAAACTGTTTCTATGGCTATAAGTCACTTTACTGTACGTTTGTTACATAAACTGATTCTATGGCTATAAGTCACTTTACTGTACGTTTGTTACATAAACTGATTCTATGGCTATAAGTCACTTTACTGTACGTTTGTTACATAAACTGATTCTATGGTTATAAGTCACTTTACTGTACGTTTATTTCATAAACTGATTCTATGGCTATAAGTCACTTTACTGTACGTTTGTTACATAAACTGATTCTATGGCTATCAGTCACTTTACTGTACGTTTGTTACATAAACTGATTCTATGGCTATAAGTCACTGTACGTTTGTTAGTATTTTTGTTCTTTATGTCAAGCATGGGCATCGTAAAATTCCAGTCAACACGTGTATTTCAGAAAAAAACTTACTTAAAACACTATATGAAGCACCTTATAAACGTTGTGGGTGTAAGATATAAAACACTTATATAATACTGTTTTTCATAGGTCCACATTGTTTCTTGAATTCTTATGTTATTAATGACTGTTTTTCAGAGATCCATATTGTTTCTTTAATTCTTATGTTATTAATGACTGTTTTTCAGAGATCCACATTGTTTCTTTAATTCTTATGTTACTAATGACTGTTTTTCATAGGTCCACATTGTTTCTTTAATTCTTATGTTACTAATGTATTAAAATGCTAAAGAAAAGCGTCCGAAACTTACCCTCTACATACGGTTGGCCATTGGGAATCGGGGTCCCAGGTCCAGTACCGTTCATGACAGAGATGACCTTGGGTTCTGGTAACGGGTAAGTACCCCCTTGATTGAAAAATTCGTCAAAGTCTGGCATGCATACCGACTCGTACAGATTGGAAGGAACGTTTTCCAAGGATGCTCTTTCTTTATCCACGGCTTTAGGAAAGAAAAATGTTTGGATTTGATGGTTTGGCACAATGAAAGCATTCATCACAATTGGTAGAGACACGCAATTAAAGGTTTATTTTGAACGTAATTAACTTATCAAACGCTCATGGTTTTTTTCTGTAAGTTTATCACAGAAAACTGTTTAGCGGGACCTTAAGATCATATTAAAACATATGAGTCGTTTGAAGACAAAATGAACATCGAATTAATAGTGCAGTACGCTTCTGGTCAAACTCATAAAAAATACCGCTTGCATCTTTGCTATATTTCTGTGTTTTGTGAGAGTTATGACATAACATTTTTCTACCTGTCATTCCTTGTTATGTTATTTTGATTCAGATATATGTGTACGTTTTAATTATATTACAAACCTTTATTTCATATTCGCATATTCTGAGAGCAGAAGAAAAAAAAATCGATAAGAAAGTGGGAAAGTGACATCCAAGAACACGATATAACATAAACTATAGATCTACACTGATGCAAGTTAATTATTGAGTGAGTTTATTTAGAATGGCAAAATAAAACACCTTTTTAACTTTATTTAGGAAATAAGTTATCATAATTTTCGCATTCTAATACAAAATGTCTCTGACAGAAATATAGGTATAAAAAAAAACTTGTTTTCAATTATGTCTGTTATTTATCCGACTATTAACGATAGTAGTAAATTGACAAGCGAGCCAATTTGTGTTGTCATTTATCAAGCTAAAGTATTTGTATTGCTAGAGGGTTAACAATGGCGCTCTGTCCCGGATGACTCTACGGAAAAAGGAGAAAGTCAATGCGGATACATTACTTACTGAACAAGAGGAAGGGCTTTGGGACGACAGAGGTAGCGGTCGGAAACAGAGTAAATACAGTATTATAGAGTTTTCCCGACGGACGTCAAGTCAGGATGTTGGTTGGAGGAGAATATGATAAATCCTGCTGGAGCCAACTGGTATAGTTACTCTATCTCAGGATGAGGACTAATACAGCGCGTCTGCATCAGCTTTGGTTTCCCTCAAGTTTAACAATTTGATGGATTAACAAAGTACATAGGATGAATACTCAGAGCTACAGTTATAGTGAAACGGGGGATCACCTGTCCAGGTATAGAAAAGAAATGTATGATAATATTTTATGACGAGTTCGTGGCAGACAGATTGCGGAGGACAAACTGAAAGCTTAAACGTAGGATTTTTCTCTTTCCTTCAGTCAACACACAGGTAAGAGCATTGTTGATTTACTATAGCACTGCGCACGAGCGTATGGGAGGATCAAGGCTTAGTATCTCTGTGTTCATTGGTTGTTACTGCCATGTAGCATATACAGAAGGGGAGAATGATATTACGGGGAGGAGTAGCGGTATACCTAAAGTGCCAGTTCATTGCATCATGTATGAATCTCCTTTCTTTGGGAAGTGTTTAGGTCGTAACGTACCAGTGTACAGGAATTTGTGGAAGGCTTAATAAACTCATTACACCGGATAGAAAGTTGGAAAACTAAAATATCTAAGCGATATGTTTCAGTGTCCTAAGACGCAGACACTAAATAGGAAATACTCAACTAAAACTTGGTTAAAATGTCAATTTAACAGCTCTGAAGTAAATTTGTGTATGTATATAAATATACAAATTAAAATTATCATAAAGTCCATTTACTTTCAGTGAAGACACAGATTAATCACTGTTCAAGAAACTAAACGTAACTATCAAGCGATACACTTACCATATTATAATGTTTTCGATTAAAGTATTAGTATTCATATGTATATACACCTCAAAGTGTATTATTTATAGAGGTATTTTTGTGCATTGTTTATCAACCAAAGAATATTTTCGTTAGGCACATTACAGTTATGATTTAGCTTTAAATACATTACTGTATAATTAGGTGGCTGGTATGTGCTGAAAGCAATATCAAATAATTAAACTATGAAGTTTTTATTCAAGGAACGTATTTGATGCTAAGTTCACTTGAATATCTATCCATTTTCACATTTATTTCACTAATAAAATGTGGTTCTTCTCTAACCATCCCCTGTTTTGTTCCAATGAAGTAACATCATTTGTGTTTATTTTTTTTACTAATGAAATTGCAGTGTAGTTTAGTTTTAATACTTTTTTCACAAGTTTGTTGGCTTTTCCAAGCTTTTTATTTTAGAATAAAAATATTAAATTAATTTACTGCAAAACTGTTTCGATACATGTAACGATTTCTCATGTGTATGCTAGTTTTCCAACCAGTACCTATCCCACACAATAAACAGGATATCCCGCTTCATCCGCCCCGGCCTTATGGTTTGCGTATCTGTTTTCCGCTGCACCAATTTCGTCATCATTTTCCGGTCCTATTTACTGCTCATGATACAAAGAAATGTTTTGCCCAAGTTACATTTTAACAAGGAATTGTACCACTGGAAACTCCACCCAAATAAGTTGCTAATAACTGCAGCGATTCTAAACAAAATGTTTCAGCAGCACCACAACCTTCAGAAATAAAACTATATACATATAGTATATACATCCAAAACGTAATAAGTAATATAACAAATTACAGAAACACACCTAAAAGCTGCGTATTTATGAATTTATCATTCAGTAATTAAATACAAAGTTTTATCCCATAAAACTTTCTGTCCGTAATGTTTCATCCTTTAAAAAAAATCGTTAATATACGAGTATTTTACAGCACGTTAAACTACCTTAAACTGAAAAAAGTAAAGATTTAAGATAGGTGATATCTCAATCATACCTTTCTGTAATAAGTCTAAATGTTCCCACAATATATCACCCATGAACGGTGGAGCACGTGCTAGAAAGGATTCTTTACCAAGAGCACACATATCTAGCCCTTTCATTTTAAAAATATGCAGATTAACTCCTTCCAAACTGAATTCTTGAACTGCCCAACTCAACCACTGTGTGACATTAATTTCATTCCATTCTCGTGGGTCTGTAAAGAAATAATTGGATTATTGTAGTACAGCAATAAAACTAAACGTTTGAATTCTTTAAGTAAGTTTTCAAACATATTTATGAGTAAAATAAAAAAGAACATAACAATTAGCAACAGAAACAAGCCGATTAACCATTGAATATGAACAACAAATTCTTATTCTAAAAACATTAATGCCAATTAAATATAGTAAACGATAAAAAATAACCTCATAACTTTGAAAACTGTCCATTACACAGATGGTGTATTATATTTAATCGTTCAAAGCTGATAACATAGTTTTATGAAATTCAGTAATTAGGAAATAATGAAACTTGTAATGAAAATATATAATAATAAGACTCATTCATAACTAGAATCCCGAACGTTAAACAAACAATAACAATTAAGGCATTACTTTGAAATGAATATTCTTATTCTTTCTGGAATTGCAGGCTTACTTATCTGAGAATTAAAGAAATAGGAAAAATAGTCATGGAAATTAAATTGTATTTTCTGCAAGTATATTTCATTTACGAGTTATGGCCCAGTTCTAAGACAACACCAAACAGAAGCAGAATCTTCAAAAAATTACATCACAAAGTTTTGTAGCAATAAGGAAATAACTTCAGTCGCCTATCAGAAATTTGACAATATATTTCAATTTCCTGCGAAGTTCTAATATTTATGTCTTCCCGTAAACTGAAAATAACGTACAATTGAACAGAAAGTTGAACAACCATGGGTTCTTAGTAGTAGAAGAAAGAAAGAACACAATAATCTCACAATCGGCAAGTCAGTAACTTCTAACTGCAATTTTCCCACTTACAATATGGATTTTATCCCAACATTTTAATAACAAAGTATAATTCAACTTCTTTACAAAGATAACCTTATGAACATTGGATAAGAAAAGCAAACGAAAATAGATGACTACGCCTGTCAGTCGTAATTGTGAACTGCATTGTTACTGTATGCTTCTTTTTCATTTGGCTGAGTTAATTGTAAAATGTAGTTTTGTACATTTAACCTGAGGGTATTTTTTAGCTTTATCAAAAGTAATTTCGATGGTAAATTTCTAAACAAAAATATAATACACTGTATAAAGTAATGTAGACTATATTTTAAGCAACTTCAGAAGCTAAACTAAAAATATTAAATTGCTAGGCATAAGAATAAAATTGTCCTTACAAGAAATATCGGTGTTTATAGCACAGTACACAATAAGACTGTTTCGACTGTTTCAACTCACGATTCCATGCAATATTATAAAAAAATGCAGTGGTATTAAACACTATATTTCCAAGTATAAAATAGGTAGTTATAAAACGTAAAAAAAACAAAAAAACTTCGACGACAAAAAGCAAGAATGTTGTAACATTTTCATACAACTTTTAGCGAGGCACAACACCCTCATAGTTGAGATTCAGGATGTGCTAAGTAACATGGCTTTCGTCCTGGTTTGTTTGAGATTCAGGATGTGCTAAGTAACATGGCCTTCGTCCTGATTTGTTTGAAATTCAGGATGTGCTAAGTAACATGGCTTTCGTCCTGGTTTGTTTGAGATTCAGGATGTGCTAAGTAATATGGCCTTTGTCCTGATTTGTTTGAAATTCAGGATGTGCTAAGTAACATGGCCTTCGTCCTGGTTTGTTGAGATTCAGGATGTGCTAAGTAACATGGCTTTCGTCCTGGTTTGTTTGAGATTCAGGATGTGCTAATTAACATGGCTTTCGTCCTGGTTTGTTTGTTTCGTGCAAAGCTACACGACGGCTAGCGCAGATAGCCGTCCCTAATTTAGCAGCTAGTCATCACCACCCACCGCCAACTCTTGGGATTGACCGTCCCATTATAAAGCCCCCACGGCTGAAAGGGCGAGCATGTTTGGTGTGACGGGGATTCGAACCCGCGACCCGCAAGGTCAGAAATCGAATAAGTGATATTATTCAAGATTCAACTATTTTCATAGAAATGTACAAAATTGGTCGGCTTTTCAACAGAAACAGTATTATGACTTTCGAATGTCACTTGTTTGAACTTCCGGAGAAACAATGTTTATAATTTGTTTGTTTGTTGCTAAGGGCAAAAGCTACAGAAAAGGCTAAATGTGTTGTGATTAACGCAGGAATATTTTGAAGGCTAAATGTGCTATGATCAACGGAGGGATAGTTTGATTGTTTCAGAAATTCGCGCAAAGCTTCACAAGAGCTACTTCTACTAGCCGTCTCTTAGTTTCAAAATTGATAGACTAGAGAGAAGGCATCTGATCAACAGAACCCACCGTTAACTCTTGAGCTACTGTAATCGAATAGTGGAATTTGACAGTTACTTTTATAATACACCCACGGCTCCAAACCTCAAAGCACGCGATCTTTCAGATTTACATTCCAGCAAGTTAACCACTAAGCCATGCCTGACTCGGCCCATGCAAGGATCGAGTCCTAATTTTAGTGTTATAAGTCCTAACGCTCACTTCTGTAAATGTATCGAAATCTGAACGTAATTAGACGTTATGTATATAAATATGATTACTTTCAAAGTATTAAATATTTACATGAAAATGTCTCTTTGTTTGGATTTTCACGCAAACCTCTACAAAAGGCTATCTAAGCATAGCCGTATCAAATATTGAGCTAGTACACTAGAAGGAATGCAGCACTGTTTGTGGGACTTGACAGTTATTCTATTAGTTCACCCGAAAGTGCGGAGCGCTTTTTTGCGGCAAAGGGTCGCGAATCATGAGTCGTCGAATTCAAAGTCTGACCACGTTAACCACTACATCACACCCAGACCCTATAAAAAGTTTAAACAGAGAATACCTATACAATAAATGAGAACTACGCCACTTTATAAAAGAAAAAGTAGCAAAATTATACTTAAAGTAAACCTGAAAGCTTTGAATAAGGTAATTTAAATTGAAATAAAGCTCATTAAAATAAATTGTAACTCTGAAACATCTATAACATCCGAAAAAAATCCTGGTGGACGAAACTGAAATTACCTAGAATTGCGTGAATGTCAGTTTTTATTACTTGGATTTCATAGTGCAGTATGAATTCATGAATAAAATAACATTAATAGTGTATATGGAAATAACCTTCGATGACTCTCTAGCGGTCACAACACAGAGAGCCAGTTAATAATAATATCTATGTATTTTAAATAAAGACTGGTGTAGTAAAATGGCCATGTTTTCAGAACGAAACTGGAATATCAATAGGCATCGATATTATTAAAAAAAAACATCATTGCATAACGTAGGGATGCTGACGTGAAACGTTTACAGAAATGTATATTATAGCTTCATACAAAATGTACATTGTATTCGTATATTGTGATACTACTACCAAGTAGTGGTTTAAAGTACGTTTGAGCCTCTCAATACTTTATGAATTAGCCAAGTTTATCTTTAAGTTCAGCTAAGCAAATAGCATTGAAAAATTGTTATAAACAGCAATTGATCATGTCTGAAGTGTTTTTTATTCATTACCTTTGGGAATTGAGAATTTCTGTCGCTCTTTTTCCCAGTTGCCAAAGCTCGCTGTGAGTGCTTGGGTCATTTTTTGATTGGTCCCTGGAGTCAGTGGCGGCACCTGGGTGGGAATATCTGAAACAGAATGACTTAAAATATATCTTTTATCACAACACGGTGAGCTCATACGAAAATGTTCAAATTGTGTTTCTCTTCAGGGTAGGTTTGCGTGAACTTTAGATTATTATAGTCAACATACGATAACTGTTGTGTGGCGGCTCTTAATTTCAATCGTTCTCTTCGAAAATCACTATCAAATTTTGGTATGTAATATAATAACTGTACATGAGAAAACACAAAGCTCGAAAATTTAGTACAGAGAGTAGATGTTACAACCTAACGAATATAAATTTAAAGAAATATTTTTTTTCTGTATAATAAGATCAACATCAACGTAACTCTTATTCTCTTTCGACGGGATCGATGAAAATACATCAATAAAACAATTTTAATTATAATAAAATAAACACATTTTCTTTCATATGATAAGTATATAATACCTCCAACCAGATGAAACCTAGGTTCTATTACTTTCCAGCCCATGCGTGTTATCTTCTCTTGTGTCTTGCATTCCTGAATGCTTTATGTCAACCACTAAAGATGCGAAGGTTAGGCACAGTAGATTCTAATACAACATACGACTGGATTTAAAATGCTCTTTCCGCTTTTAATTACGAAGAGTCACATTTTCTTTTAATTAACATCTTTCAGGACATAACACTGAGCGAAGTTTCGATTGATCTTCCCGCTTTTAAAAACACAAGTTAAAATCTTTAGTGCCGACACTTCATGAAACGGCGCAGACAGAAATACGCTCACTGGTAGTTTCAACTGAATCAACCAACCACATGTATTCAGATCTAACTTGATCATACAATAGGTCTAGAGATTATACAGTTTAACGAAGAAACAAAGACTATCGAGAATTTGCCGTTTGATTTTATTACAGGTTAAGATACTACCAAGATCACACGACAACCATAAAACACAAACAACCGCTCTGAACAGTACTGTCACTTAGAATGAAAGTAGGGGGCTGAGGACACAGTAATTACGTCCTCCTCCGCCCTCTGCCAACTGGTATAATCAGTCTCAATGGTTTGAGTCACAGAACTCAGCCATGAATGGGAGATGAAAGAGTAGATGCATGCGAGCCATAGCGCTTAGAGCGGGCGTGCCGTCTCGAGTTGGCCACGCGCCGTGAACATGGCCGCTGTTAGGACTATCGTAAGTAAGTAAGCGTCTCACGGCTTTCACCTCTGATGTAACGTTTTGCTGCATCGCTGAAAGTGTATACACATATAAATTTTTATCTTTTGAGCTACTCACCTAATTATTTTTTCTGTAACAACACCAAATCAGATAGACATTTACGAAAGAGCTATTTACAATTTTTTAATTCTTCAATATGAAATACTTTGAGTTTAGAATAAGGTAAATACCTTTCTTTCAGTCACAAGTATTTCTTATTGAGTTTAGTCGTTCATGTTAGATATCGGAAAACATTTAATGTTATTTTTTATATCTTAGCCAGCTCTTACAGTGATTATCTCATGTCTGATATTGTAAGTTTTATTCGTGCAAACAAACTATCCTTTACTCCTTCAGATAATTTTGAATTTCATTAATGATTGGATATTTCACACTAAGATATGAGTTTCGTAGTTGCTGTGCCAACTGTAATCACATTGAAATTAATATAATCCAGAAACAACAGTTTTAAATCTAACACTTCCACGAGTTTCGTAGTTGCTGTGCCAACTGTAATCACATTAAAATTAATATAATCCAGAAATAACAGTTTTAAATCTAACACTTCCACGAGTTTCGTAGTTGCTGTGCCAACTGTAATCACATTAAAATTAATGTAATCCAGAAACAACAGCTTTAAATCTAACACTTCCACGAGTTTCGTAGTTGCTGTGCCAACTGTAATCACATTAAAATTAATATAATCCAGAAACAACAGTTTTAAAACTAATACTTCCAATAAATGTTGCTGTTTTACATCGAAATTAAATTCGTTCAAAATAGCACATCACATATAAATTTCATAGATCAGTCAGTCTAGTGAAGATTAATTTTCAAATTCACACCTATAGATCTAATTTTCAGAAAATAATCACGAAATGGACATTTTCTGTACTTAAGTCAGCCCTTCGCAAAAACGAATAATCTTGGGAAAGTTTTAAAAAGTTATGAAAAATACTGTACTTTATCACTCCTATTGTTTCATCGGAAGGTAAAATCAAATTTAGAAAATGATTTTAAAGATATATATTTTTTTATTATTTTTTGAAATCATGTACAGCTATATATAGTGACTTTTAAAGATAGTTAATGGTCTGATTTATGCCAGGGTATATCGTGCTGCGATTTTTTCAGGTATTAAATTGGGGGATGTATTATGACTATTTCGGATATTTAATGTTTTGTCTTATGTCAGAGTATATTGTTCTGTAACTGTTTCGGATATTTAATGTTTTGTCTTATGTCAGAGTATATTGTTCTGTAACTGTTTCGGATATTTAATGTTTTGTCTTATGTCAGAGTATATTGTT